AACTTATATTCACACAGAAACCTCTACACAAATGTTCATAGTAGCTTTATTAATAATATCTCTAAACTGGAAACAAACCTGGATGTCCTTTCAACATCTATACTGTGGAATACTACTCAGCAATAAAAGTTAACAAACTCTTAAAAATTAACAAACCCAGTGAATGAGATTGAGTGAAAATGCCCAATTCCAAAATATTACGTATGTGACTCATTTATATAACATTCTCAAAATGACAAAATTATAGAAATGCAGTACTGTTTAGTGGTTGCCAAGGCTTAGGGAAGGGGTGGGAGCAGGAGGGAAGAGGGTGTGACTATAAAAGGTCAACATGAGGGATGGTTATGGCTGTGAAGATGTTCTTTATCTTGACTGGGTTAATGTTAGTATCACAGTTGTGATATTATACCATAGTTTTGCAGTTGTTACCATTTGGGGAAACTAGGTAAAGGGTGTAGAGGATCTCACTGTTACTAGTATTCCTTACAAATGTATGGGAATCTACAGTTATCTCAAAATAATAGGTGAAATTTTAAAAAAAGTTTAAAAACAAAAGGTCAACTGTTTTGATCAGAAACTTGGATCTAAAAGGAAATCCAGATACCCCAAATGAGAAAGTTAAGAAGGACTGGGGCAACATGGAGAAGAGAGATAACACTGACCTGGTTGGGAGGAAGATCAGGAAGGTTTCACAGAATTTATCACATTTGGATTGAGCCTTGAAGAATACCAGGCATTCAGGAGTAGAAGATAGGAAAAAATATGCAGACCAAGCTAAGGATGCACATTTTTCATCGTGCATGGTCAAAAGTTGTGGTGCTATGTCTCAAGGTATATATGAGGCAATGAGATAGTTTGGAGCCTCCATCAAGGAGAACCTTGAGTAATGAGGGCTAAGTCTCAAATGCCAGGCTCTGAGTTAGAAATGAAATTAATTGATGATTCTATCAGGGAAGAGCAGTTACTCCAATGCACTTGACACACAGCTTCAGGAGCAGAGAGAGCAATGGCCTATTCCTAAGCCACTCAGGTAGGCCAAATAGGCATAGTAATTCAACAATCAGGATTCCTTGACGATTAGGTGGCATTCATGCTTTCATGTGTGGTGAGTTGCATGTTAGAGACAAAGAAAACAGGAAACGATGAAGTCCTGAATTGAGGAAATGGAAAATGGAATAGGAAAGACCAGATGGATAATGGAGACATTTCAGAGGACTTGGAGACTCCCAGATTAGGGAGAAGTCTGAGCTGATTCCAGATTTCTAGTTCAAGTTACTGGAGAAGGGACCAGGAGGTCCCTTCCTGAGATAGATACATGTGAAGATAAAAAGATGCAAAGGGGAAGGAGATAATGCATTGGGTTGAGACACATTAGGTGTGAGGTGATCCTGGCAGTGTCCAGAAAATAGTTGGTAATTTGGTTCTGCAGTTCAGGAGAAAGAGTCAGACTGAAGACATGGCATCAGAAGTTTGATGAGGCCACTTGAGTGAGAAGAGGTTCAAGGACAGAACACGGGAGAATATTGACTTTCATATTAGGGAAAGTGTTGAAAGTGGAGAGACCAGAGATGAGGAGAACATCTGTAAGATGGAACTCTGAAGTCTAGGATGAAGAGTCCCACAGATGAGATTATCCATAGTAGAGTCCCAGAGTCACAGAGAGATCCTGCAGGGTCAGACATGGGGAACGGGCATGGAATTTGATGCAGAAGGAACAGTCGTTGCAGGGAAGTAGGTGGCAGAAGTGAAGAGCTGCGTGAACAGTAAGGAATGGTGGCAGGGAGAGAGCAGGCAGCTGCGACTGGCTTTTCATTTTTCAATATAATTCTTAGTATTATTATTAAAGTATTCTCCACCCATTAATTTTCTTGCACGTGAAGAATTATTCTCTAGCGTCATTTTTATCAACCTGTATGTTTATGAAGAAACTAAAACTAGCAGAACCGTGAAGAATAATTGAGTGGTGAGAAAACCTTTTATAAGAAAGTTGGACATTTGTAATGTCTCAATTCAAATCATCTTATGTATGTTTTGTTTAAATATAGTTTCTGTTATTAAAAACAATATTGGTGGGTAAATGAAAGTTTGCAATTTAGCTTTGGGTTACTTTTAAATTTCAGAACTAGATTATGAACTCTGTGTGCGTGCGTGCACATGGGTGTGAATTTCATAAAAATTACATTTTCCAATTGTTGATGAAGTTCTCTTTTCCATTTCTGATTTTAGTTGAATGCCTGTGAATCTAATAGTAAAAGACTTTTGTTTCACAACCTCTGGGAATACCGTGTAGTTGCAGAATATGAGATTTTAGAGACTGAAACTAACCTGGTGGAAATTCAAATTCATCTTTTTATCTTTTAGATAAAAGCCTTTGAAATCCTTTTAGTGTGAAGTTATCAGCAGGCTTGATTCTCGTATTACCTCATTACTAACCCAAGGAGTTTTCAAAATGCATGGAGAACAATGCTCTGTGGCTGAAACTTGGTTTTTATCCTTACTCCAGTCCAGTGATAAGCCAAATGTGGCCCACCTAGTTCTACTTGGGAAATTCTGCCTGTTCACCCCAATATACTGTTGGAGATCACAAGATCACAACACATATAGAAGGTTCTCATAAATTGTGCACTGAAGAAACCTGTTCAACTTTGAGCATTTTCGAAACTTCTTAAACCACAGAACCTTTTTCCACATTAACATTTCATAACTCACCTAGGAGTTTTGTAAGATAAGAAGTGAAATAAATGCTTTTGAGGGGTTGATGCTTCAGCACTGAGGTCTGTACTGCTGGAAGTGAGGGCAGTGTTCTCTGTATATTTTTGTTTCATGAATTGGACTGGGTGAAGTAAAAGAAAAAATTCTTACTGCACTGATCTCCCTTCTACCCCCAGAATGGCAAAACATCAGCTTATTAGGTATTAAGCTTTTGCATGTTTTCCTGAAAAATTATTTTCATCAGTTGTTGTATCTACTTTCATTCAATGGAATACACTGTCCATTAATAAATGTATAAGATATTTTGTTAAAGATAGAAAAATATGAACAAAGAAGTAGTCATATCAAGTTCACCAATTGTTATTTTAAGGCTTACTTAAAACAGGATAATTCACTACTTGGAGGAAAAAGCTAATTTCCAAAACTGCAGCTACGTAGTGATTTACTTATTCCATAAGCCTATGATCTTATCTGCTCGGATTTATATTTGGAGCAGTAAAACCTCTGGCAGCTGCTCTTAGCTGTCTGCATGAAGAGGAGACAAGAGATAAGAACATTCCTGATTTTATTGCTCTCTAGAACATTTGAAGTTGGGGTGGGGGTGGGAAAGATGAACCTATTGTGACCATAAAGCGTCCATCGAGTCTGATACCAAAGAAGTAAACCAGTCCTCTTAGAAGATGTGGTAAATCTCCCAAGCCACCGGCCTCCATTTTTCAAAACCTGTCAAAGGCTTAAAAAAGAGGAGAGCTGCTGCCTCATCTTCATCAGAAAAGCTATCACTCCAATGTTAACATAGTTTAGGGCTTTGGGAGAATTATTGCCAGTTAGAAAACTTTCAACTATTCTTATTGTGAGCTCCCCAGATGACCTTACCCTACTCCCAAAGAGCTCCGTAGGACCCTTAGCAACCTTGGAGCAAGTCTCAGCCCAAGCCAACTAACAATTCCAGCCAGGATGCAGTGTGGGACAGCATTTAGGAGAGGGTGTTGACACACGCTCTGCCCAGGCACACCCACCAATAGCATCACCACTGGGAATGTGGCAGCTCTTAGTACAATTTAATTGGAAACCATTTGGGATTCCTGTCAGGTGAGGGTCTCTAGGAAGACTTAAAACCCCTGAGTTTTGATGACTTCCAGGATGTGCTAATGGGTCTGTATTAGCTCATTCTCAGGACCTAAAATTTTCTTATGCTTTCTTTTTTGGACATTAGTTCTTCAGTTAAAAGCTGCCAAAATCATGACAGAATCTGGTAGGGGGGATTTTTTATTGCCTAATAAATAATCTCATAGGAGGTCATAATTCCATATTAGCCACTAAATATCTGAAATGTATAAAGCATGCAAAGTTGGGTCCAAGATGTGGATGAAAAACAGCTCGGTGACATTTCTTAAGAATTACTCATTTTCTTTTTTAATGTGAAAGGAGAGCAAGAACATTCTCCTAAATCCCATACTTAGAAAGCTGAACATTGCCTGGAGGTCTTAAAGAATTACATTGACAAAGCCATTTTTCTTTAGTTTTTAAATTACACATAAAAAGTTCCCCCAAAGAATTTTGGAAGAAATCACAAGCTTTCAGATTCATTAGACATAGAAGGACCTCTGGAAACTCCCTTCATGGCCTTCATCTGTCGTCCTAGGAAGACACTGAAATCATGCTAGGGAGAAACGAAGCTCCTCAGTTTTGGAAAAATGTTCATTATTGTTTCAGTCTTCCTCTGTAATGCACCCTGGACCCAGCTGTGCTCAATAGCACAAAGTTTTGAATTGTTTCGCTCTTGTGAATAGCTGCTTCCCCCAACACACACACACACACACACGCCAGCCACTGCTGTAGTGTTTTATCTCCTTGAGGACCGCTGTTATCTGCCTAACTCATTTTAACCCTGAGTTCTTTGAACCTCTTTGTCCTTTCATCTTCCTTAAAATTGCTATGACTTATACCTCTTAAGTCATCCCCCCCAAACCACTCATCCCCTAAAAATAAAAATCAGTCCAGTGGCAAAATTTGTTGAAAGGCAAGGAGAAACCATTGTGTCTTGGTTTATGGGAATAATGCTGGGCAGAGAAATCTTTATTCTTTGAAGACTGTCCTCCTACCATGGCACAGTGGAGCTCTCCAAGGAGGTCTTTGGGGGTGGACATAAACTCAAAGCAATGCACATCTTATGTGCTGTTAGGTCTTTTCTGAAATGATAATGCTGACACTCCTCTTATTTTCCTTTTAGGCAGGTTGGGCCAACATTTCCCATCTCAAATAAAATATATTTTCTCTGTTGACAGAGACCAGATACTGCTACACTCAGCACACAATGGAAGTCACAGGAAACAGCATCTCAGTCACCAAACGCTGCGTCCCGCTGGAAGAGTGCTTATCCACTGGCTGCAGAGACTCCGAGCATGAAGGCCACAAGGTCTGGGCAACAGAGCAAGTGACCAGTACTACATAGCCAGCTGCTTCTCTTCAGACATCTGCCAGTAATCATGAGCAGATTCTTATTCCCCCATGAAGGCTGCCTTTTGACTGTCTTTATGCTCTATGAAAAGACTCTTCCTTTCGTGTTTGCTCTAAAAGAATACACATATATACCAGAGCATAGGACAACTGATATAAATTGTGTAAACACACATCAAGAGGGTATTCAGTGTTATTGTAAACCCTTTCTTCACTCAGAGGAAAGTAATAAAGCTACTAGAAAAAAGAGGAGCGAGGGACCAGTTATGCCCATCACGGTGAAGCTTTGCAGATGTACCCCATTCATTCATCACAAGGGGACTGAGGCAATTCAGCTTTGATAACTTTCTGTAAAGTAGGGCTCATATTGTGACTGGGATGTCAGTTTGGCGAGGGTCCGTTGGCTCTTGAGTCATTAGGTGACAAGAGACCCATCTTGTGTGTTTGCTTAAGCTTTTTCACCTGGTACCTGTAGAAGCCTGTATACAGAAACACCTGGTGCCTACGTACAAAAGCGCTCAGTGTAAAATGAGCTTGGGAGGTAGCCTTGAAGGGCCATATAAAGATCACAGAAAGGCAGCCTCGCCTTCCTGCTGTCTGTACCTGTGACCTTAACATATCAGGCCTTGGCCTTTATTTAGCAGCTGAACACTTCTCCTGCAGGTGGCCTTCCTGCTGGTTTGGGCAATGTCCACTCTCAATACCTGGGAACAGCACTGTCAGTAAGGGCTTCTTTTTCTTAAGGCAGACACCTAATTTTCAAGCAACCTCTTGAATACACTAATAATTAAAATTTTAAATATAATCTGCCTACTCTGCTCCTGGTTCAAACTGAGTAAAACCAAAGGCTTTCCCTGACCTCTCCAGCAAATTGGACTTGATTCTGAGGAGTTACTGTGGCCTCTTTACTAAGGAGAAAGTTAAGGATTAGAGAAGTTGGGTCATATGCTCAGTCACACAGCTGGTAAGTAACAGGCACAGAATTCCAACTCACCTCTGGTTTGGAGTCTATCTCTGCAACATTATACTGTCTTCCTGGCACATGTCAACTGTGACTAAAGACTCAAATCCCTGCAGGATAATGACTGTATAGAATATTATTAATAACCATCCCATGACTAGGAATCACCTGGGAATCTTGTTAAAATGTAGTTCTAATTCTCCGTCTGGGGCAAGGTTTGAGATTGTGCGCTTGTAACAAACTCCCAGCTGATGTTGGAGCTGCTGGTCTATACTTTGTGTAGCCCCAAGACAATTTTTGCACTAACTCTGTGGGTTTCTTTCTTTCTTATGATCTACAAGTAAGGTGGTGTAAAGCAGGAATAGCTGCATGAATGAAAACCCTTCAAACATTAACTCACCCAATGAGAATGGAGACACTTATGCAAACAGTTCTATGAAAGTCAGTACACAAGTTGAAATTACCTGGGTTGTTGCCACTTGACTCTCACTTGAAAACTTAGCAAATGAAGGCTTACCCTCTCTTCCTCAAGTAGTCAGAAAGAGCCTCATGGAAAAAGGGCGAGTTTCGTTATTCCAATTTTAAGGGCGAAATAACTGAGGCCCAGGAAGGCTACACACCTTTCTAAGAATCGTATGAGTAGGGGGGTGTCAGAAACAAAACCTAGATCTCTTTTTTTTTTTTGAAACAGAGTCTTATTGCTCTGTCGCACAGGCTGGAGTGCAGTGGCCGGATCTCAGCTCACTGCAAGCTCCGCCTCCCGGGTTTACGCCAGTCTCCTGCCTCAGCCTCCCGAATAGCTGGGACTACAGGCGCCCGCCACCTCCCCAGGCTAGTTTTTTGTATTTTTTTAGTAGAGATGGGGTTTCACCGTGTTAGCCAGGATGGTCTCGATCTCCTGACCTCGTGATCCGCCCGCCTCAGCCTCCCAGAGTGCTGGGATTACAGGCTTGAGCCACCGCGCCCGGCCACCTAGATCTCTTGAAGTTTAGCCTGGGGAGTTTTCCTGTTGACCAGATTGCTTCTAGATGAAATATTATCCCCAGCCTTCCTGAACATAGAGTTGGCATCTCCTTCATAGATCAGGTAATTTTGACTTGCATCTTGCCATGTGGGTGACAGTTCCTTCAAAAACCCTGCCTCCTTCCAAGACATGCTGGCTTCTCATTATCTTTTTTTCTTTCTTTCTTTCAGGTCTGCACTTCTTGTTGTGAAGGAAATATCTGTAACTTGCCGCTGCCCCGAAATGAAACTGATGCCACATTTGCCACGACGTCACCTATAAATCAGACAAACAGGCACCCACGCTGTATGTCAGTGATAGTGTCCTGCTTGTGGTTGTGGTTAGGGCTCATGTTATAGCAGCTCAGTGGCTCCATGTGTTAATAGCGATCCGTGAGGATCTCGATGGTCCACAGTCCTGCATGAGTCATTGGCCTGACAGTAATTACACACATGTGACACAACACTCTTGGAGGTCATCACAGCCAAGCATTGCCACTTACCATGAGGAATAAATGCTTCATTGTAGCCATTTTGAGTCTAACCAGGACCCATCAAAGCCTTCTCTCAGTACAGGCCAAGTTCCATACCATAAACCTTTGTTTTCATTCCAAGAAGTAGTTCTGCATTTATCGAGATCTGGGGTTCTTAATTTGGAAGAATACGTGCATGAAATGCAGTAGGTCCTGAGACTCTAAGATATTAGGAGTATGTTATAGGGGCATGTATAGATGTGGGCTTTTCAGGAGAAAAGTAAAGAACCATTGGTTTAAATATAGTCATGAATTCATTTGTAGCTTTAGAATTTTAAAACATTGACTCCAAAACGAATGGACTGTTTCCTTGGAAATTCTGACTGAGTCCCTGGAAGAGTAGTAATTCCAACAATTCCAGCCATTTGTTCAATTAATTTTCTTAACATTCTTCTCCCAGTGCTGGGAATTACATTCCCTCTGTTCCGTGCAGAAGACAAAAAGGCAATCATAAAAGTTCGTTACATTTGTGGGGGTGCCTGGAGGAGGATTTTCCCCAACTTAATGGAGCCAATGTCCATAAAGTGGCTGTGTTATAATATATTCTTCATATAATATACTTCATGTAATTGGTGAGATCGGCCTTCTCCTTGACTTGGCACCTAATTCTGCTTCATGAGATCCTAGATTCCACCTGAGTCAATTGTGTCCAGAGCCCCAAACCAGGATGGAGTTGTTTTCCCCAGATATGGGGCTCTATTCAGCCATAGGTAATCTAGACAGAGGATTTCAGAATGAAAGGAAAACGTGTGGAGATTAGTCCTAGTTCATTCTGAGGGCCAACTAAGTGGCTCAGCCAGCTTCTTACTCCGTCGGCAGTTCGTACTGCCAAAGAGCTCCCACTTCCAAATCCCCAGTGACTTTATGGAGAAGAATCTGCATTAAATTGTCTTTAGAATGATAGGGAAGCAAGGCATAAAATGCGATGATGAGGAGAAAGTAGACCAGTGGGGTGATTGCAAGACTAACAAGGAGACTCAATGGGAAATTTTTATTTCTTTTAGATATTATTTTTGAAGTAGATGGTAAAGTTTTTGTCATCCTTCCTGTATTTTTGGTACCCCAAGTTATGATTTTTCTTCTTCCTTGTAAATAATTTAAACAGTATTTATTTTTGTAAGGCATAACTAGAAACTAAAATATATTCTAAAAAATTCATTATTCTGAACAAAGTGATCAAATTAGAATACGTATTTTTCAACAGTGGTAGAGCTTTTAATATATGTTTATTGAAAGTTATCTATAATACTTGCACCAGTGTTGAAAAAGTTCACATGTGAGCAAGAGCAATATGTCTCAAGGATTTTTCTCATGGTTTCCTCAGTGATGGTGTCCAGGAATCATTCAGGTGGTGACCATCACTGGTCTAAGTTTCTGTGCAGGGTTTTGGGGTGTGTTTGTGTGAAACTTGGTAGAACCATGGCTAATAAAGAGGACAGTGTTGTCAGGGTCCATCTGCCCTCCATAGAAAAATGTCTCTGGCTCATAAAATGAGACTCCCTCAGGGACTAAATATGAACTGACAGCAGTAACTCTGATACAAAATAATCTAAATTGCATCAAATGGCCTTAATTCAGAGTTTGTTAGGCTTATCAATATGTTACTTTTAATTGGGGTAGGAAAGTAGAGGGAGAGAAAGCAAGACATTTATTAAGCACCTCATATGTGCCAGGCACTATGCTAAGCACTTTACATAAGTTAGGATTAATCCCTGCAAGAATCCTATAAGGAATGTTACTAGTATTTCCACTTTCCAAATGGAGGTACCAAAACTCAAACACAATGTTGTGAAGCCGTTTCCTTCAGATTTAGGTTATGTGGGATGAGGTGGGATTGAAGAGGAAAGGTGGAATTATCCCCGTAGAAATACTTTCAGGCCTGACTTCATGGGAATTCATCTCTCTTATCATGTGGAGTTTATCTCGCCCTGCTGTTGCAGGATGCCATTTGCATGTGTCCCCAGATGATGTTTTTTCTTTGGGGAGTAGGGGTTTGGCTTCCTCATTCATCCCTCTTGCTAAAAGAGGAGATAGTTGATGTTGCATCTAAAGATGCTGTAAGACAATGAAAATTTGATGTTGTACATACCTACAAGTACCATTTTTGTGCATGATTACACTCCACTGACATCTTCCAAGTAATGCATGTGTTTGAATAAGAAACAAGAAAGTGACCACACCAAAGCCCCCCTGGCTGATGTACAGGGATCAGTTCCACAGTGGTGCAGATTCAACTGCCACCCAGGGAGCGCTTGCAGACTCTGCATAGATGTTGCTGCGTGCATCCCATGTGCCTGTCAGAATGGCTTGTGTTTAATTCTCTTGAAAGAAAGTGATTTGCTCACTATCTCCAGCCTCAAGGAGCCAAGGGAGGTCATTCACATGGAAGGTCCAGGACTGGTCAGTCATCTGACTTTTCTAACACATTAAATTCTCCATTAAATCTCACCATTGGTAATGGCTTAAGTGTAAAGAGCCATGATGTGTATATTAAGCTATGTGCCACATATTTATTTTTAGACCCTCCATAGCATTCATGTCAATATGGGATTAATGCCTAAACTTTGTAAATATTGTACATTTTGTAAATCAATGAATAAAGGTTTTGAGTGTCTCTTACCAGGCTCCTCCCTGCAAATGCAAATGTCAATCAATGATTAATGCACCCAGGTTATGTACAAGGCACTGGGCTTATTAGCACCACAGGGAACTTGCTTCCGGAGGCTCGCTTTCTAGTTGTATAGACAAGAATACGCGCATGAGAAGATAGAACACAATTCACCAATGCCAAATGATTCATACAGTCTGTTTACTGCAGAAAATAAAAGAAGGAAAGATGACCAGACTTTTCAATAAGGTCTACAGCTTCCCAAGAGCATGTCTTTGGTAAATCAGGAAATATAAAAATTATGTGTGTGTATGTGTAAATATACCACCCTATTAACTATTTTTAAATCTTACTCTATTTTGGGGGTTGTGTTAATGATGATACACCAGAAAAGATTTCCTCTTGATGGTTTCTCCTGGAACAAGAAACAAATATTGGAATAGTGTACATGTCATTTTTATCTATATAATGAATTTATTATATATTTCTTAGTAAAGTGATAGACATCAAAAGCAAGCTTGAAAAATGTCAGCTTGTTTGTGATTCCTGATTATTCTCCTCCTCCTTGTTTTTGTTTTGTTTTGTTTTGTTTGAGACAGCAGGGTCTTGCTCTGTTGCCCAGGCTGGGATGCAGTGTCACCATCATGGCTCACTGCAGCCTCCAACTCCTGGGCTCAAGTGATATCCTCCTGCCTCAGCCTTCCGAGTAGCTTGGACTACAGTATAGGCATGTGCCACCACACCTGGCTAGGTTTTAATGACATTTCTTGCAGAGACAGAATCCAACTATGTTGCCCAGCCTGGCCTCAAACTCTGAGGCTCAAACAATCCTCCCACCTCAGCCTCCCAAAGTTCTAGGATTATACATGTGGCCACTGTGCCCAACCTCTGGTTGTTCTTTAATTACTTATGTTTTGAAATTTCCAGGGAAATCTTTTCCACAAATTAATATGTTTTCTCTTGGTCTGAATCGGTGACACAGTTGGTCACTGATGCTCCTTAAAAGTGTGGTACTTACGTGAAGATAGCTCTTATTGCTGATCTCCGTGAATAGTTATGTCTGTTTAATGTCAGTGGTACTGCAGGTGGACTGTGCTTTTAGAAAATTTGATTTTGAAGATACAGACTTACATGTTTACTTAATGTGGGTTTTTTGTTTGTTTGAGACAGAGTCTCGTTCTTATCACCAGGCTGGAGTGCAATGGTGCAATCTCACACTTACTGAGACTCCTGCCTCAGCCTCCCAAGTAGCTGGGATTACAGGTGTCCACCACCACACCCAGCTAATTTTTGTGTTTTTAGTAGAGACAGGGTTTCACCATGTTGGCCAGGATGGTCTCGATCTCCTGACCTCATGATCCACCTGCCTCAGCCTCCCAAAGGAGTTTTAAAGAAATTCTTCACTTTATAAATGTATTTCATATCCCTTTCCTAACACATTTATTTTATTTACAAACAAGATTTAGGGCATGCCAGCTCTGTAAAAGTTAGAAGTGCTGCCTTGGCTGTGTTACAGTATCTTTTATCTGAAATACTTAAAGAGTGCTTACAAATGTTTTTATAACTTTAACTTACCTACTAGGAGTGAAGTACATGAAAACACTGAGAATCTGTTATAAATTCTCGTCGTAACCAGGGGCACTTGAACTTAAAGATTCAGATATTTTTCTAAGATTGCACCTGAACTTGGGGCAGGAGTAAGGCATGGACATGAAGCATCATGACTACCTTGGGGCACTCTTCACTAGAGTCTACTGAAAACGGCCTATGATTTAAAAAAATAAATAAACATTTCTGACATAATTTGGTGTTACAAAACCAATGCAGATTTCCAAAATGTCTTTCAAATGAAGCCGTCACTTTTAGCATTTACTCTCTCTAGCTATTTTAAAAAATTATGGCCTGTCTCATTAGCAATTACTATTGTCTTGCTGTTTATTGTCTTTGACAAATTTTAACTCCATTGTAGTTGCTGGAATTGGATTGGGGGACCTCTACATAACTGTATTTTAAACTGGGTAAAGACCTATAATCTAGAGCCTAAGAAATTTATCTGGGGTCCTCTTTTCTATTACTCCAAAAGAATAATTTTTGTATATGACTATTTGCAAAGCACTTTTATATACCTTGCTTCAGTTAATCAGCATGACCCCGTTTATAGCTTTCATAGCTAAAGCTTTGGAGTGATTTTGGGAGGCCCCACTGGTGGTTTATACTACAAGGATTTTGATCCCCCATCCAGGACTCTGTTCCACACACACACACACACACACACGTCACCAGGGTGACATGCATAATGGCCTCATCCATCTCTGGCACTTTTACTAGAAAGCCATTTCTCAGGTCACAAAGAGTAAGTAGAACCTTAGAAAACATCTGTTTTCTGGGTAGTCTACCCCCTTAGATTTATACAGGAGAGAAAAGAACCCTAGAGAACCCAGATCATTTGTCTCTGAGAATGACACATTGCTTGTGTTAAAAGATAAAGCTCATCAAAATGTCCCTTCTTTGATGCTCAGAGTAATTTAAGACATGGGTGATAGAAAACAATTTAGAGACCTCCTCTCCCTTTACTGTGGGATTGGCAGTCTCATGAGGACCATCATGGTAGTGAAGGGTAGAGAATAAAAGGGCAAGGTTTTGCAGGACAGCAAGCTAGCCTAATGGAAACAGACTTTTTCATTCTCATTTGAGAAGAAAAATATTCTGGGAAAATAATCATTTTCAGAATTATAGCCTAAAAAGGTAGAATGATGTGTCTAAATTAGACCTTACCAGTTATTCAGAAGTGGTTTTCTCGGGGTTTATGGCATGTCCCATGTCAGAAACTGGCCTCCCAAAACCGTGTGTTGTCTCTATGCTCAGAGTTCAGGCCTCCATTGATGTCCTGGGGTGGTGACAGGGCTTGTGTTGTCAAAGTGGGAAAAAGTGTATCTGAAAAGCAACTGTTGGATTTAGGCAAAATGAACAAAATGCCACCAGGATGTAGCCATGATGCAAAGAGAGGGGCTAAAAATAAGCCATGCTCTCAATAAATCCATTCATCTTTGAGAAGAATTCAAAATAGACTTAGTGTCTTGCTGCTCTTCCATCTCCAGAGGAGCGTGACTGGGTCCCATAGAGTTTGCACCCAGAGTCTGAGCACATGCCGTCCCCCCTCACTGGTGTGCCCCTGGCGATGGCTGGTGGTCCAGCTTCACAGCTACCTGCTGGCTAAGCTTTCCCCTGACCCTAGTTTCTCTCAACCATAAAAAAGGTCTGTGAACAGCGAGCAACCCACATCACACAGTGGCATGTGAAGACCAGTTGTTTGGGGAGAGGGATCATGCTTGAGAAGCTTGGCACTGAGGTGCTTTGGGTGGAAAGGGGCTGAGTAGATGTCAGTGGTGGGAGAGAACACTTCTGGACTCACTCATGACTCAGCCTGGCTCAGTCCTGGCACATGTCGGCACTGGGTTTGTCCCTGCCTTTAAAGGCGTTAAACACTCAAAGGGTTGGGCCCATCCTTGACTTTAATATGTTTAATTACTTAATAACCTTGTGTATGTTTTGCCACCTCCCTAAATACCAAGTGTGCTGTGTAGAAACACATCCTCCTTGATGTGAGACAGCCTGAGACCACATGAGATGTACCATCAGACCTCCCATGAATGCCTTTTCTTTAAAGTCATCATCTTGAAAAAACTGAAAGGTCAGCCGGGCATGGTGGCTCACGCCTATAATACCAGCACTTTGGGAGACCGAGGAGGGCAGATCACCTGAGGTCAGGAGTTCGAGACCAGCCTGGCCAACGTGGCAAAACACTGTCTCTACTAGAAAAACAAACAAACAAAAAAATTAGCCAGGCATGGTGGGACACACCTGTAATCCCAGCTGCTTGGGAGGCTGAGGCAGGAGAATCGCTTGAACCTGGGAGGCAGAGGTTGCAGTGAGCCGAGATTGTGCCACTGCACTCCAGCCTGGGCAACAGAGCAAGACTCTGTCTTAAAAAAGAAAAAAGAGAAAAAAAAACCCTGAAAGGCCTATTTGGAGTATTTAGGAAGAAAAACATAGTGGATGTTTCACCCAGGCTAGATCTGAGGATCTTAAAAACAACAGAATATAGGTCTGGCTTCAGATTAGAGGTGAGAGAAGATTCCCCAGGGAAAATAATATTTAATCCAATACTTGGAAAATGAGAATGTCAGACTAGTGAAAAGAGTCCCCTTCTCAGACAGGCATCGAAAGGTCACGGATGTGGAATTTTAGGAAAGCTGTGAGGTCAGTCTTGAGAGAAATCGGTAATTAGCTGTAGGTAAATATAACTTGCCAATAGACTCGTCCGTATTAATTTTTATAGATTGGTCTTCACTAAGGCTGCTTCTGTGATGATTATTTTTCATCTTTGATGGTTGTTGCCCTTCCAGTTTGTTAGCTAGTATCTGCCTGTTAGAATCACCTGGGGGTAGGGGAGCTTTCAACAACTACCTGATGTTTTTAGAGCACTCCAGACCAACTTGATTAGCTGGGCTCATAACCACTTTAATTTTAAAGACAGTGGGACAGCGAAGGTTTCTCTACGTACTCACCTTGAGAATTCTGGAGTACCAAGGCAGCCTACTAGGAATATGATTTTCACTAGGGTCCTCAGAGCCCCTGTTCAGTGGTTCTAGCCACTGAACAAATAGGGTAGACAAATACCCAGATTCTCAGAAGACAGGGAATTCACCTTTTGGTATATAGAGATGTGTGTGTGTGTGTGTGTGTGTGTCTGTGTGTGTGTGTTTTAAAGACAGGGTCTCAACTCTGTTGCCCAGGTTAGAGTACAGTGACACAATCATGGCTCACTGCAGCCTCCAATTCCTGGGCTCAAATGATCCACCTGCCTCAGCCTCCTGAGTAGCTAGAACTACAGGTGTGTGCCACCACACCTGGCTAACTTTTTATTTTTTGTAGAGATGAGGTCTTCCTATATTGCCCAGACTGTTCAAAAACTCCTGACCTCAAGTGATCTGCCAGCCTCAGCCTCCCAATGTGCTGGTATTACGGGAGTGAAGCACTGCACTTGGCTCTGGAAATGAACATTTGATTCAGTCTAGGAAATGCCTCTTTTGCGCATAACTCTGGATACTTTTACTTTATTTTTCCACCTGCTACCTGGGGCATTTTACCCCTGGTACTTACTCGAAGGGAATAATAAAGTTGAAAGAACTGGATCTGTCCCACCCACATTCACACATCATAAAAGCAAAACAAAGGAAAATTGACCTAAACCCTACTTCTCCATCCAGCTACCCCCTCTCTTTAGTACTCTCTACAGCCAAACCTCTTGAAAGACTTTTGTGCTCACTGACCCCATTTCCTCACAATCCACCCACTCATTATACCACTCCAGTCTGTCCTCGGGCTTCACAGTGAATTCACCGAATTCACTAATGAAGGACAAGTCGCTCAGCCAAACAGTCACTTCTCAGTCCTCTCCTCACCTAACTTCTCAGCTTCGTTCAACACTTCGCCTAGTTCCTCCTTCTCGAAAT